AGAACTTAAAGAATATACAGACAGCAGAGAGGAGAGACATCTGCCCCGGACACAACCAGAGCTGAGAGGAAGAGCTCTCTCTCCCCAAGCTCTCAGCCCCAGTGCTCAGATCCAGAACTTGCTAGAGAAAGTGCAGCCTTGGCTCACTGAGAGAGAGAAGCTACTCTAGTGCTTGCCAGTAGAACTTACTGGAAATCTGCCTTCTGGAACTTGTCACAAATCATTCCTCTAGGGTGCCAGGGAGGCGCTTCACCAGAGGCACTTCACTACAAAACCACCCGGGGGGACAGTTAAGGGACGCTGCTGTTGGCCACCATATATAGAAATATCTGGGCACCAGAGAGGCTGGAAGAGCCACAGAAGTCTGGTCCAGGGGATAAGACAGGCGCAGTGCAGGAGTCTGCCGAGCAGGCACACCCGCATCTGGAAGCAAAACGCTTTCCCGCCGCAATGTTACTCCAGGGCCCTCTACTACACAGAACTTCAGTGCCAGCTGGAAACAAACAAATATTTAAAGGGCCAGATAAACTTCCACAGATCAGGGAGAAAGATTCAATTGGAACTGTGGGGTAATAAATCAATAACCAGCACATTACATGAAGCAAAAACTGATAAAAATGAAAGGAGCAACATAAAATTCAATAATTATAGTGGAACAGTCAAATGCCCTTCTCTCAGTAATTGATAGAACAACCAGCCATCTTCTAGCCCCCAAGAAATAAAGTCAGCAAGAATACAAAAGCCTTGAACATTATCAACTAACTTCACCAAATGACAGAAGTAGATTGATATAGAATAATTGAACCAACAAGAGCAACATACTCATTCTTTTCAAGCATACTTGGAATATTTTCAGAAAAAATCATGTACCAAGTTGGTAGAAAAAAGAAATAATATGGATTAAAATTAAAATCAATAAAATAGAAAAGAAGAAAATAGAAAACAAATTACTGAAATAAAGAATTAATTCTCAAAACAATATGAACAAAATTGACATGCCTTTAGGCCAACCACTGAAGAAAAGAAAAAAGAACACCTGTGAGAGTGGCCATCATAAACAAATCAACAAACAACAAGCGTTGGAGAGGACTTCCTAACTTCTTCAAAAGACACCATCAAGAGGAGAAAAAGACAAGCCAGAGACTGGTAAAAATATTCACAAATCATGTATCTGATAAAGGCCTGACATTTAGAATATTTTTATAAAAGAAGAAAACCTTCCAACTCAGTAAGATACAACACCCAATTCAAACATGGGTAAAAGATTTAAATAAGCATTGTACAAGAAAATACATATAAATACCTGACAACCACACGGAAAGATGTTCAACATCAGTCAGTCATTACTGAAGTACAAGAAAGCACTAAAGACCCACTAAAACGGCTGTGTTCTAGACGACTGCAAATAGCAGGTCTTGGGGATGACGTGGAAAAATGGAAACCTCCGCACACTGCTGGTGGGAATAAAAATGGTACGGTGACACTGGAGAACCTGTTGACAGTTTCTTAAAAAGTGGCACATACTTTCAAACAAGCCAGCACATAGCCGTGTATTTACAGCAGTGCCGTTCGTGACAGCCATACACTAGAAACAGCCCTCACGTCTGCCCAAATGGCCAGAACCAGAAATAGTGTTAAATCTAAAGATAAACTTTGGAAGAAGTGTCCTCAGAGCTCTGGTCTATGAACATTGTGTATCACTGCATTTTTCTAAAGATGATCTTTAATTTCTCTCAGCAATGTTTTGGAGTTTTTGGAGGGGAAGTAAGTCCCATACAATAAAATAAATATTCATCAATAGCAAGGAATGAACTACTGATACAGAAGACAAAATGGATGAATCGCAGAAGCATTATCCCAAGAGAATGAAGCTAGACACAGAAAACTACATATTATATTAATCCATTTACGTGAAATTTCTAGAAAAGGCAAATACAGAGACACAGAAACAACATCGGTGGTTCCCAGGGACTGGAAGTGGGTACAGAGAATGACTGCAAATAAGTGCCAGGCAGCTTCTGGGGGTGACGGAAGTTTCCCAACCTGGATTGTGAGGACAGTTCACACCTGTTTAAATTTTCTAGCAATCACTTAACTGCATTACAATGGGTGAATTCTGTGAGATGTGAACTATAACTCACTAAAATTATTAAAGGAAAAGAGAGAAGAATGGCTCTATCTTTTCCATAAGAACTGTATTTCACAGTAACCAATCTGCGAACAAAGAAAAAACATTTCTAGAATTGAAGCTAATAAATACAGGAAGAACAACGATATCATTTTAAAATATCACACTTGATAACTCATAATGAAAAGATGGATCTCCACAGACGCTACAGGTATCAGAGGAAAGGCTGATGAGGAACTTCATAACGCAGGAGGGAGCTGATGCTGCCTGCAGCCGAACGATCCGTCTTAGCGTCACTAACCCTAAGACGGCCACACATTAAATGCCACTTGACACGAGGCAATAATGACACATCACCAACTATGAAGGATTCTTACCAAAAAACACAAGTCAGAATTTAATCAGTTCTCTAGGGCCAATTTCAATCTTATTATATAAGTAATAAATAAGCTAACTAGCAGTTTAAGAAAACAATCAGCCAAATCCAAATTGTGGGCATTCTAAAGGGCCTGGCTTTTCAAACAAATTCACAGCATTAAAAAAGAAAAAAGTAAAGAACACTATTACAGGAAAAAAAAAAAGCTTAAGAGCTAACCAGTCATACACTGAATGTGTGAACCACACCTTCACTTGATTTTAGCACACCAACCTTAAAAGACATTTTGCTGACTACTAGTAAAATCTGCATAATGACTACATACTTGATGTTACTGAGGAATTAATTTTGTTAGGCGCGATACCAGCATGGTGTGTGTGTATGTATGTATGTGTGTGTGTATACACGCACACACATCTTATATATTATATGTATCTATGTGTATCTATATACATATAGGTATATATAGAGACAGATATCTTTATCAGTTAGAAGTCATGCCAGAGTATTTGCAGTGAAAGGATATACGTGTAGAATGAACTATCCCAACAATATTTTTAAGCATCAGGGTGAATGTGTAATAAGACTGGCACTGTGTCAGACATTGTTGAAGCTGTGTATCAGGTATATGGGTCTTTAACATTCTCTTCTCCTACTTTTAGTGTGTCTTTAGTTTTTCATATTGATGAGGGTAAGGAACAATGAAAGACTGCAAAACTGAGAGTAAAAAAATTCAAAGAAAAAGGGCCCAAAGCTCACAGAAGAGGTCAGGGATGAAGAATTTCGTGGAAGTCGTTGGAAAATAGGTAATCTATATAAAACCAAGTCTTTAGGGAGACATAAGGAAAAAGAGATCAAAGAAGTGAGGACAGTGGAACACCAATATTTAAAGCCAGTGCAGAGGAAGGTGAAGTTCAGAAAGATAGCAAAAACTGAAATATCAACGATGGGCAGAAGAGACGTAAGAAAAAACTGAATCAAGGAAATCTAGGCATTGAAATTTCTAAATAATGATAACAATGAAGTACTCTTTCATAGCTCCAAAATTTCAAATCAAAGAGAAAAGGGTTGCTTTTTAAATTTTTTGCTCTAAATAATTTTTTTATTTTTCAATTACAGTTGGCATACAATATTGTATTAGTTCCAGGAGTACGACCCAGGGCTTAGACATTATAAACCTACTAGCTGATCATCCCGATTAATCTAGCACCCAGTTGACAGCACGTACAGTTGTTACAGTACTGACTGCATTCCCTATGCTGCACTTCACATCCCCGCGACCATTCTGTAACCACCATTTGTACTTGTCAATCTTTTCATCTCTTTCCCCCAACCTCCCAACCCCCTCCCATCTGTCAATCATCAAAATGTCCTCTGTATCTACGAGTTGGTTTCTGTTCCGCTTGTTGGGTTGTTTTTGAGGTTCAATTATTGATAGATATGTATTTTCATAACAGAAGAATTTCAGAACGATGATATAATTATACTCATACCTTCTAAGATACACAATCTCCCAGATACTGAGAAAAATGTTCAGGAAGTATTAAGAGTCACACACCCACTTGCACCAAACTGCCACCTAGTCAGTCTGCTGCAGTGAAAGACAGAATACCAGGTGACCGAACGGCTATAAAAAAATAAGGTATTTCACAGGCCATAAAGAATTCCCTGGAGAAGAGTCAGTACACTATAAAACCCCTGAATGAAAGACAATGAGCCAGCCCCGTCCCTGCCATAGGCCCAGACCCCAGCACAGCACCTGGTTCAGTGACCCTGCATTGCTGGAGTCCCAGTGGGGAGTGGACGGGTGGGGAGGGGAGGTGTGGAGGGGACAACTGGCACCGATGATGCCCAAGCGCGCTGGCCTTTTGATCCATACCACGCATTAGACCAACCTGGTGATCCGTAATCCCTTCTAGCTACAGGATAAAAACAGAGCTTTTCACTTTACATCCAGAGCTTAAGTAACTCTTCCCAAGTGTGTACCTTTGCACTGCTGCTCTCACAAACACCTGTACCTTTTTACGGTTGACTCCTAGTTCTTTGAAGAATTTACTGTTATCCTCAGCCATGAACATGTAACATTGCAAAAAATGCAAAACTTACACTTTAAACTACCATTACATCAATCTTCTATTATTTACTCTCTTGATTTGCAATAGACTGAGAGTAAAGATATATTTTTGCCTGCAGGGCAGAGCCCTACCTCATATGAATCTCTGTTCTTACTTTATAAACAATTTATATTATCTTAATTGGTAAAAAGTTCCAATAAGTATTTTTGTTTTCCACAGACTAACCCCAGAAAAAGAAAAAATTCCCAGCCTCTCTGCAGCACATGTATTTTTTTTTAATCATTTCCAGGTAATTTTTGAAATTCAAAAAAAAAGTGCTCAAGATTTTTTTTATTAACCCTTCTTAACTTTTATTAATTCAAGATTCGAGAGCATAATTCTAAAATGTCTTAGAACCTGGATTGCAAAGTTAAAAACTTACATTCCAGCTGTGCAACCACATCTCCAGGGTCCACTGCTTCTGGGAACACCTACAGGGAGCACGGAGAGTGGGAGGGAGAAGAGGAAGTGAAAGGAACACACATATAACGGAGTCTTTGTTTTTTCCCTCTAGTTCCCCAAATATTCCTTTCCCAAACAAAGAAACTTTTGACCTTACTGAGAACTGTCGCTTCCTCTCTGCCTCCCATGATCCCTGTGGAAGATTTTACAAACACCGCAGCTGGCTCTGCCCCCTCTCTAACCTGATCTGCCAGGTGCTTCCTCTGTTTCCTTACCCTGCTCACACTGGCCTTCCTGGTGCTCCTCCAACTCATCGAGCTCCTGTCTAGCAAGGAGCCTTTTTATTTGCTGTTCCTCTGCTTAGAATGCTTTTCCCCTAGACCTTTAAAAAACTGAGTCTGCCCCACAATTCAGGCTCAGTTTAAATGTAATTGCCTTCTCTGATCTCCCTTTAAAATAGACAATGCCCCATCCCTCAGTCCCCTTCTGTCCCTTACCTCCCTTTATTCCCTTCGTGACACTTACCACTAACTCAAAGCATATTATTTCTGTGTTTACTTAATTATTGCTTTCTATTTCTCCCATTAAAACAAAAGCTCCAAGAGGAGAAAGATGTTTGTCTACCCAGTGCTTTAAAAATTGCATGGAACAGAATAGGTTCGTAGGTAATTAATTGTGGAGAAAAGGAAGAAGAGAGGAAGGGAAGGAGGGAGGGAGGGAGGGAGGGAAGGAAAGAGGGAAATAGAGAAAGAAGGAAATTTTAAAAGTAAGAAATACAACTGGTAATAACCAAAAGCAGAGGTTTTAGAGAAAGAAAAGAGTTATAAAAAGAAGTATCACAAGACAGCCATAGTAAAATATGATCTGTCCTTATCTATTGATAGTTCCTGTTCATTTTTATGACAATATTAGTTAGAATTAAGGGTGATATATTTTACATAAAGTCCACTATCATGATTTTAGAAATAAATTGACCCATTTTATTGGGTCAATTTAAAGAAGAAATGGATTCAATATATAACATGATGCCTATGTACTTTCAAGCATCTAAATTTATGTGACAAATCTTCCTTTGAATTAAATCAAAGTACACAGTCAGCAATAATAATTGCATTCTGGAATTTTATTCAAAATTTATAATTATTTTAATTTTGTTTGTTAATTTTGATGTGAAATTTGAACTCACCTTTTCAAACACCATTCTGGCATTGAAGACCAATGGAAAAGTGGCTGGGACACATTGTGTCTTTTTGTACTGGCCAAACACACAGATGCTAAGGTAGATGTCCTCCTTGTCTGTCAGCACCACTCCTGGACAGGTCACCTGAAAGAAATCAGGTAGATGGATGTACCTGCCTTATGAGTTCCCTGATCTATCGTGCTAAAACGACACAAAACATAACATAAAAACAGAAGTCTGCTAAGCTAATAAAAATACCCATGAATAAAAAGACATAGAGAGATTCTAGCATTTACACAGTTAAAGAAAATGCCTTTGTAACTTTCATCCCTGAGAGATCTCTGATTTTTCCACGTGGTTGTTTGTGCCACATTTGAAGCTCTATGCACTGGCTCTTGGGACAGACACTAACAGTTTTAAACAGTTGGCTTTAGGCGCCCACTCCATGCTGGATGCTGACATAAACTTGTTTAGCATTATTTAACCATGCAGGATTAAAAATCAGCAGAAACAAAGCACTATACTAGAAGACAAAAAGTACCAGCGAAGAGCACAAACCAGACCCGTCATACCCTAAATGGCAGCCTATGCGCCCCTCAAAACTAATATGACAAAGTTTCAAATCAAGTGAACTGCAAGTGTGTAGCCCAATATTTTTTAAACAAAAAATTTTACTTAAGCATCCCGTGGATGAAAGAAAGCACGCACATAAAATGTGGAGTTTCTAAAAAACGACACTGCAGTCTTTCCATCTCTGCCACATTTCATTCAGGGATCAAACATGCCCTTAACAGGATCTCAAAGGCTCTTTAAGATTTGGATGAAACCTACCTTCACAGAACTGTTATCCAGCACCCCCTAATTACACGATCAAAGTATAGTTTAGTGTTTTCTGAACACACACATGGCTTTCTTGGCCTGTGTCCTCCCGTCACCTGGATAACTACCCCTCACTAGTCCACCCCACCTCCTCCTTGTTTACCCCCACCCTCTGCCAAGGCTCACACCAACTGTCATCTCTGACAAAGGAAAAAAAACACTTCTCTCGATTCAGCAGCTGTCATTATTATATTCAATCCAATTCATACATTTACTATGAATTTACTATGTGCAAGTAAATATGTTTTAGATTGTCGCCAGGCATCTTAATTAAATGGATACATCTCACCTCTTTTATTTGACTATACATTCCTTGAGGACAGAAATTTTATTTTCCTCATCAGTGTATCTAAAAACACCAACTTTCACTATTAAGAAGCAGCTCACAGATTGTCTAGATGGCTTTTGATTTTTTATGTATGAAAACAACAGAGCCCCAAGAAAGAACAGATGATTGACTTATTTAAAATCACACAGTAAATGACTCAAAACAGTACATTTGAAGTGCTTAGAACAGTGCCTGACAGAGCATTTATTTGGCATAGCTATCACTGTTAGACTGAAAACCATTATCTGCCACACCAATACAGACGACCACATTGCATAAATGACTGAGACTTCGTGTCCCTCCATACACAGCAGTTAAGATTATATTCTATGCCAGCTATTTTTTACTCATATTTACCACTTATTCTCTTTTCCGCTTTGTTCTAATATAACTCCAACTGATTACTAAAATCAAGGTGCTCAGCAAACTTGATTCTGTCAGCTTCTCTGCCTCATTAAAACCAAAACTGTCTGAGAGTTGCTCAAATATGTGTTCTCCAGAGTGGCAGCTGTTGGCCACTTCTGCCTCTAGACGAGGCTAGTTCAAACTGAAATGGGTTGCTAGTCTTGTAAAATACAAGATACTGAAGACTTATTACAAAAAATGTAACTGTCTCATTAATAACTTTCATATTAATTACATTTTTAATATATTTTATTGATTATGCTATTACAGTTGTCCCATTTCTCCCCTTCTTTCCCCTCTACCCTGCACACCCTCTCCCACCCACATTCCCCCCCTTTAGTTCATGTCCATGTGTCATAAGTTCTTTAGCTTCTACATTTCCCACACTATTCTTGCCCTCTCCCTATTTTCTACCTACCATCTATGCTACTTATTCTCTGTACCTTTTCCCCCCCTTCTCCTCCCAATCCCCTGTTGCTAACTTTCCATGTGATCTCCATTTCTGTGGCTCCGCTCCTGTTTTAGCTATCTGCTTAGTTTGCTTTTTGTTTTAGGTGTGGTTGTGAGTTTGCTGTCATTTTAGTATACATGTTTTTTATATTCTTTTTCTCAGATAAGTCCCTTTAAAATTTCATATAATAAGGGCTTGGTGATGATGAACCCCTTTAACTTGACCTTATCTGAGAAGCACTTTATCTGCCCTTCCATTCTAAATGAAAGCTTTGCTGGATAGACCAATCTTGGATGTAGGTCCTTGCCTTTCATGACTTGGAATACTTCTTTCCAGCCCCTTCTTGCCTATAAGGTCTCTTCTGAGAAATCAGCTGACAGTCTGATGGGAACTCCTTTGTAGGTAACTCTCTCCTTTTCTCTTGCTGCTTCTAGGATTCTCTCCTTCATTTTAACCTTGGATAATGTAATTATGATGTGCCTTGGTGTGTTCCTCCTTGGGTCCACCTTCTTCGGGACTCTCTGAGATTCCTGGACTTCCTGGAAGTCTATTTCCTTTGCCAGATTGGGGAAGTTCTCCTTTATTATTTGTTCAAATAACTTTTCCACTTGTTACTCTTCCTCTTCCCCTTCTGGTACCCCTATATATCAGATGTTAGAACGTTTAAAGGTGTCCTGGAGGTTTCTAAGCCTCTCCACATTTTTCTGAATTCTTGTTTCTTCATTTTTTTGTTTGGTTGTTTCTTTCTTCCTTTTGGTCCACTCCATTGATTTGAGTCCCAATTTTCTTCTCATTACTATTGGTTCCCTGTGCATGTTCTTTCATTTCATTTAGCATAGCCTTCATTTTTTCATCAAATTTGCAACCAAATTCAACCAGTTCTGTGAGCATCCTGATCACCAGTGCTTTGAGCTACGCATCTGATAGGTTGACTATCTCTTGGTCACTTAGTTGTATTTGCTGTGGAGCTTTGATCTGTTCTTCTGCTTGGGCCATTTTTTTTTTTGTCTTGTTGGGCCTGTTACATATGAGGGGTGGAGCCTTAGGTGTTCACCCTGGTGGGGCAACCCAGTTGCTGGGTTGTGACACTGTATGTAGGGGTGGGGTCCAAGAAGGAACAATGGCGCTTGTGTTGCTCTCTGTCGGACCTCAGTCCCTTCTGCCACTTCCCCCAAGCAAACTGGGCCTTTCTGGTGCTGGTTCCTGGGTGGGTGGGCTTGTGTACATTCTAGGACCCTGTGGGTCTCTCCAATGAACTCTCCTGTGAGGCTGGGAGTCTCTCCCGGCACCTCAACCCCCACAGGTGTTTTCAATTAGTGCTTTGAGGCTTTATTTTCTGGTGCTGGGACCCTGGGTTGCACCATCTGTATCGATCCCCAGTTTCTGCCTAGTTTATCTGCCCTCGAATGTGGGACTGCCTGGTCAGCCAGCCGCCTTGCTCACAGTGCCTCGCTTCACAATCACCACCCGGTGCCCAGGGTCTGCCAGCTGCCGCCTGTGCACCCAGGGTCCAGCCGCTGCCATCTTATGCGCCTGGGGTACCTTGTGGGCCGGTGTCACCGCTTCTTGTGCCGCGATCCCTCTCCACTCAGCCGCCCAACTCCGCCCTGGATGAATGTGTCTGTTTCAACTCCTTGGCTCTCCGACTTCCATATGGATCAATTTTCTGTCAGTTCTGGTTGTTATTTTGTTTCTAAATTGTTGTCCTTATTTTGGTTGTGCGAGGAGGCACAGTCTGTCCACCTACACCTCCATCTTGGCCAGACGTCTTCATATTAATTACATTTTGAAAGAATATTTTAATATATTGACTTTTATAAATAAAATTATTGTTAAAATAAATTTATCTATTTCTTTGAACTTTATTAATATAGCTAGTAGAAAATTTTCAATTACATACATCTGTGACATATACTGTATTCATGTTGGCTAGTGCTGCTCTAATTGTTCTCACTGAAAAATAATGTCTCTTTCCAATTTGTAATATATGCAAGAAGGCATGACTTTTTTCCCATCCACATTTCTACAGATTCTGCCAATCTTTAAAGAGATAGGCAGCATCTTTCCAAAAAAGAAAGCAGGAAAAGGAAGGAGAGTTAAAGTAGATAAGGCAGAACAAATAGAATATAAATAAATAGCAAAGTGGTTGACTTAAACCAACTCTATAGACAATTTTATAAATGTTAATACTATTCTAAGCATTATAATGAAAAGGCAGAAATTGTCAGAGAGGACAAAAAAAGTAGGACACAAATATGCTGTCTCTGCAAAAAAAAATCCTACTTTAAAAACAAAGACCCACATAAAGTACTTTAGGAATGGTGAAACAAATACCTTCCAAAATCAGCCCATCTATAAAAGCAACTGAAACCAAAATCTGTCAAAAACAACTTGTTAGAGCTCTGGAAATTAACCATAGGCTTACAAATTTCTGAGTAGTATTCATTCAAGAAAAATATTTGAATTCTGGTAAAAATCATAATAGTGTGGTATTTTAACATACTCTACTCCCAATCCTTTATACCCAGGTCTTTCGTAGCCTTGAAGATGAAAACTCTTACAATCATGGTAGCCGTGAAACCAGCAACCCACAGCCACTGGAGCAGAAGAGATTTAGAGCCAACCAAAAGCCCTATCCCCAGGGAATTGTAACTGACTTGTCCCACAGAACCATGGAATCCCCCATTTACGGGGCTTCTCTTTATTTGGCCTGAATTGGAGCTGACTCCAGACAAACAGCCTTTCCCCTCAAGGTGTTTGTCAGAAACAATCAGTAGCAATTATTTAACATCACAGATGCCTGAGGCAGGGGTCTCAATGGGGCAAACAATAAAGTGACCAAAACACTTGAAAGGCAAAGCTTGAGAATCATTTGTGGGTATATGGAGAAGGGCAATGTCTTTGACAATGTATGATATATTCTTGGCAATTTAGACAGTCATGCCTGTGCACAGGGCTGTGCATGTGACTCTAAATCCCTAAAGCTTCCTCTCTCACCTCAGGCTGACCTTGAGGTTTTAGGCAAGTTGGAAGTAAAGACTAAGTATTGTACACTGCCTGCCAGGACTTAGAAAGCATACT